GGCATATATATATATATATATATATATATACACACATACATAATTTCTGTTAATAAAATAAAATACAAAAGTTGCCATAATGTTGTCGTACATGCCAAATATATCACAATATATATATATATAAATAATAGTAAATAATTTTGTCGTAGTTCATGCCACCATATAAATTATATACATACATTATATACACACACACACACACACACATTATGCATTTACATAATGTATTTAATTCATACATTGCAATAAAACACAAAAGTTGCAATAACATCACCATACATGCCACTGTTTCATGTCCTGGTGTATCTTAAAGAAACAAATCTGCACTTCTCATTGATACAAAAGGTTTGTGGGTGTGGCCAATATGATCATATATGAACATATATATTTACATATATGTGTTATACATTAAATATTAACATATAGAATTGTTACAATAATATGATAACAATTATAATATATTTCTTTAGTAAACACTCAGACTAAACTCAATCCTTTCTTGCTGAGTCTCATAAGGGTCTTTAAAGACCTTGAGACCTAATATATATGCATGGAAAGCCTGTATATCATATGCAATTTCTCCATCTGACAGCTGAAACATTGCATTAAATGTTCCTCTCCTCCCGCAGGTCCGTGCCAGCGCCATCGCCCAGGACGCAGATCAAAACTACGACTATGCCAGCAACAGCGCTGTTCTTCATCTGGAGCCCGGAGACGAAGTCTACATCAAACTAGACGGGGGTAAAGCCCACGGGGGCAACAACAACAAGTACAGCACCTTCTCTGGTTTTATTATATACGCCGATTAGGACATATGCACCTACTCCAGACGGTCTATCTCGTCCCCCTCTGCTATTCCTCTTCCTTTCTTTCTTTTTTTTGCATAATTTTCCTTTGGGCCCAGGGCAAGCACACAGACCTGCTCAAACACCCCTCATCATTAGTCTGTAGATGTGGGCTTGAAGGCAGAACTCTTTGCCCTGCAATCCAAAAATCAAGAAAGAACCAAAAAAAAAAAAGGCCCGGAGAAAGAAGCACTTCACAGAGGAAAGATGTACAGAGGAAACGAAGCTACCGAGGAGTTTACTGTGTCTTTCTATGTCTGTGGCCATCAAAGAAGCCTGTGAGATGTTTTCTAATATGTAACCTGACATAATCAGCTATATGTGCAATAACGTAAACTACGATGTTTGTTATTCAAAAACCATCTCGGTCATACCTCACTAGTCAGATGCCTGAATGAGTTGCGTATCATGAAGCATTAGCCCAAATTTCATCATCATCCATTAGATGTCCAGTGTAACCTGACCAAAATGATCCTCTTGTGTTCCTCTTGCATAATATATATCTGCTAAATCGCTGCAGGTATTTATTCCCTGACTGTTCTTGAGTGCTAATTATGAATTAGGGACATAAAACAAAACAATATACCTTGGTGGTAATGTCTTGCAGTGAAATAATATTCCAGAATCGCTAAAGCTTTCAGCATTTTACTTTTTGTCTGCAGTGTCAGGGTGTCAAAAGCCCTTTATTTTCGGTGTGTAATGTTAGCCGGCATCTTTTATTGCACACAGACGTACTAGACCGAGAAGGAATATGTTTCTTGTGATATTTAGAGCACTATGCAGAGTATGGGTGTTAATATGTAAATGTGTATCTATCTTCAGAGAATTCCAGAATGTGATTAATAATATTGCTTCTTATTTTTAGTGTAAATATGTTAATGGATTTCTTTTTTGTTTGTTTCATGAATGAGCATCAGGTGAGCGTTATGTATCTGTGTCACTCTCATCTCCAGGTTGGGATGGCAGGGAATGTGTGTGATGAATTATTATCCAAGGATTATTTTTCTTTTCCTGTCCTGCTCCTGTAATTCTCATCTACAACCCTTCAAACACATTTTCCATTAAATGGAACTTTGATCAGATATGTGCATTTTCCTTGTTTTATCCATCAACAAATCGGTTTCTATATGCATATTAGGCATGGGCCGATTACCGGGTTCAAGGTATACCGCGATTTGAAAATGTCACGGTTTCAAAACCACTAATATTTTCCGTTATACCGTTCCTCAGTCACGTGTGTGTAGGACGGCCGAACTTAAGGAGCTTCCTCTGGAATTTACGCGATCGGCAACCGGCTGTTTATTGTTTTATTGCAGCCAATCTCTGTTCTGGACTTGCACAAACTGCGTTGCAGTGCATATCATTTTCCAAATGTCATTTATGTGAAAATATGAAGTCTGTAAAGGCCCGTTAACACAGGCCAGAGACGCTGAAGATGGACGCACAGAGAAAAATACTGTAGCAGGCAGATCACTCACTGTTCATGATGCACGAACTATTGGAAACGCTGTATCAGCGCCTCCTGCTGTCAGAGAGTGAATCTGCGTCCAATTCAGAGCTGCTGTTTGTTTCGTTCAGGCATGTAGTATAACTTCCCAAATCTAGTCAGAACGTTCTGTTTTTGCTTCAAATTGGGTTATTATTAAATCAAATTATGTATATGAAATTATATAAATAAATTATATGAAATTATATAAATGATATGCATATGAATTATATAACTAAAATTAAAGGGGTCATAGGATGCTACATGCACTTTTACAAGTTGTTTGAACTGAAATGTGTGTTGGCAGTGTGTGTA